TCACTTCAGGAGATGCTTTTAAGCAGCACTACGACCTAGATCAAATTATCGAGCTCACTTTCAGATACGTCTATGGACGAGAACAGGACCACCGACGACCCTACTCGTACAATTCGTTCTTTCGACAGTATGGTACGACCTCGCTGTACACACCACCTCAACTCACACCAGGAAAGTCGTCCGATAACCACTAGACGAGGGTAAGAACGAGCATTCTTTGACATGATCATGGTAACAAGTTCTCCTTCTTCTTAATCTCCGCAGCAATTCCCCTTTTCCATGGACGCTTTCGATTTCCTAATCGATGTCGAATGAAAACGCCATATGGCAATCTACTCGGTCTGATGGAGACTGAGGAAGTCGAATGCTTAGCAGGAGGTTCAGGAGACGTCACACCAACGATAGCTACTCTGAAGCATTCGCCCAGCGTGCAGCCGGGGAAGGCGCAGGCCTTGCGTGGTTCTATGGCCTGTATAAGGATGGGAGAATGTGGAAAAGTGTCACCGGAATCAACTGCCGTCCAGGCGGCACGAGTATGTGAGCGCGACGTTGCTTGATGACTTCTGCAACCCTTGTGCTTATAGTTATGGGCGTGGGATGTTTTCGCCACGTCACTGTAGAGGGGTGGATTCGAGGACACCGACGTCAAGGTGAAAATTGTCCTCAGAGGAAAATTGTGGCTGTTCCACCTCAAACCAATCTCTAAGCCACTCGAATGTCCTCCCAGTATGTGCGGGTCCTCAAGTGACTGTGCCTATGCCGTGTTCCCACAGCATTGACATCTAGGGACGGTGATCCATTTTCGCAAGCATTGAACCTATGGCAGAAAAACTCACGGGCAGACTTCCAAGCTGAGTGTCCGGTAAATGTTTAGGCCTATATTCGCCCCATTACTTCAGTATGATTCCACTACTTTTTGTTAAATAACACAACAATAATTTGTAAGTACAGCATACGAAAAGGAAATCTATTGCTAAATTGGTCGGTTTTCAGGTACTCCGGCTATGCCTATTTAGCTAGTGAAACGAACTACGATATTGCCAGTCAACCGAGAAGCCTTAAAAATTACATGTACACACGGACATACTTAGGAACTGCGTAAGTGCTTATAGTTGATAATTTTTTGGCTACCAAATGAGTTCTTTTTTACTTCTTGTTTTTTCAAGGACATTCAGATTAAATGAATAAACTCGAGTTGTACAAGCAGAATGAGTAATCTTTTTATTACATTTTTTGTTGATTTTCAATTGTTCATAATATTGGTTGACTTTGACATCAATCGTAATATATCGTATAACTTCTATGATTCACTTCTACTCATACTTATCACATCCATTTTAAAAAGAAACAATAGAGCCCACTGTTTCCTTCCGTCCAGCTTGAAGCTTACAGTCCATAACCAAAAGTTGGAGTGGGCGTGTTACCGGCAGCAGCCGCACTTGATAGATGTCTGCGTGAATACCGGCTTCCACATAAATCGCTGCTATCAGCAAAGATGCTGACAGTACTATCCATAGCAACCTTTATGCAAGCGCGACAACAGCCAATGCCACTTCCGTTGACACGCCACCCAACTCCGATGTGAAGTAACACTTTGCTTCCTGTTAGAAAGTCGCGTAATGGGTGCTAACTTAGTTGGGGGGGGCCACGCGGCGGCGCGGCAGTCTGCTCACCTGGGCTCTCTCGAGCGAGACAGTGTAAACTCGAACATTCCAGCTTTTCACGCATGTCAAGTGACTGCCCCCACCCCCCACCCCCTAGACTGGCTACACTCCCCCTGGCCCACGGATTTCCGAACATGCCAGGCGAGCAGACTGCCGCGCCGCCGCGTGCCCCCCCCCCCAACTAAGTTAGCACCTAATGCGCGCGATCTGCAGTACATATCTAGCAACGGCAAAAGCAATCTCACATGCGCTTCATTATTTCCTTTAGGCACGACTGACTATAAGACCCGTTAAGGTGAAGTCTGGTCAACAAGAACAATTCGCTGAAAACTTTCGCTGTGGATTACGAGTCCTACATCACAATATGTTCATTTTGGCGCTGGCGCCCAATTTGCGCCATTTGGCGCCAGGTGACGCCACGACTGATTCCCACTAAATTCGCTGTAAACTTCTGTATAGGGGTTATTTGGGGTCCTGATTACGAATGATGACATTCGTTTTTGTTGTTAGCGCTATTCGGCCAATCCTGCTACATTTCGTCCTCGGCATTGAAAATTAGTCCAATCGGCTAAGCCTTCGAATAGTGAAAGACTCCAAAGAGTAGGGCACTCAGACAGCTGTGGTCTAACACACTCTCACTTGTGCGACACGCGGTGCATGTTTCCCACCACTTTGGATTTCACCCTTCTCGCCCTCCCCCAAGCTTAGTGTTAGGCGCTATAGGTGAGAATGGTTGAAAAAGCAGAAAATATGCGTTAAACAACACGAATGTTGAAAACGAGTGTCATATTCGTGATCAGGGCCCCAAATAACCCCTATTCAGAAGTTTACAGCGAATTTGGTGATAATCAGTAGTGGCGCCAGCTGGCGCCAAATGGCGCCAATTTGGCGCCAGCGCCAAAAAAGGATGTCATATTCGTGATCAGGACCCTCGATAACCCCCATAGCAGAAAGTTTCAGCGAAAATTATTTTTTGACCATCTCGGCCCCACTGGGGTAAATAGTGCAATAGTGCCGATTTATGAGCTCATGACGCTATCGTGCCTGCTACCGCGGCATGCGAGATCTGCAATACGACATGTTCATCGAGATAAACAAGTATATAATCACAAACCTGCTCTTCGTAGGTAAATTATGAACGGAAAGGAAATCGAGCCCCGCACAGGTCAACGCCTACGTTGGTTCCCAAACAGTACCAACGGGGGCGTACTTGTTAGCTTTGAGGGGGTGGGTCCGTGCCCCGACTTATATCCGCTTGAAATCACGTGTGGGATTGAGGTGAAATCAAACTAAGATTTCGTGGGTAGTAGGCTGGCGAGTGGAGGGCGCGCAGGATAAAAATTTGCCGTTTCAGCGGGCGTATATACCCCCTAGAAAAGGAAGTAGTGGGAGTATAGGTAAAAAATGGGTTGAAATGGTGGAAATAGAAGGAAATTTTCGGAGATATTTACCGTTTCAGAGTGACTATATACCCCCCTCGACGGCATTTTTGGAGGAAAAAGTGGGCGGGGTTTGGTGAGTTGAGTGGTATCAGAATTAAGTACTATAGAGACGATGATGGTGGTCGAGGTGTCGAAAAGGGGGTCGTATCAAATCCACCTTGGGGGAGGGGGGTCGTAAAAAATTTTCAGAAAGTAACAACGATAGGACCGACCCTGCTTACCGCATACGTTTCCAAATTGACGACCTGCTTGATTTTTTATTTTCCTACGCTGGTAAACGTTTAATTGCACTGCCTATCAAACAACGCGACGGCAGACTCAATTGGTACACTTGGAAGCTGCTTACTGACGAATTCTCCTTAATATGTTCTTCACATAAATCAATTACACAACTTCATACGTCAAACTTTGTTGCAATAAACATTAGTGACAATCGATGAATTGAAACGAAGGTGACAATGTGAAAGATCATGCAATCATCATGCAGCATGCAAGTAATCCCAAAACGGTGAGGCTCGCAGTTTGTCTGGTGGGCTGACGATTGAGGGTCGAGCAGGCAACTCACATTCCATAGTACTCTAAATAACACCAATACAACAATTGCACGCAATAAATGAGTCCAAACTGAACAAACATAATCCGGTGCAAATAATTGTTCAAAACATAACATCGGTCCGCCTTTTTTCAACGTATAGCAAGGCAATCTATTATTGAGTTGCCCGGTGTGACAGGGACGGTACACGCTTTTCAAGTACTGCAGGGTAGTGATAAGTACATCGACGTTGCATATACATAATAACGGCATCGATTAATCAATGGCGCTAAAGTATGAGAAAATCGACCTTCCTTCGCAAGCTTTGCATTTTGCAGTGTTATCTGCTATGCAGAACACGGCACGTGGTGACTACTGTCTTACACATATGGTAGGTTTGCATTAACGACTCACCTATGAGGGCAACAGTGATAGTGGCATGGAACTCGTGATAACCAATCCAGTGAGAACAGCGTCCAAAATGAGGGGGAACACTACAAGATATTCCAATTAAGGCCCAATAAAAATTTCAAATTGAGTCTACACTGGAGTAATAACCATGTTCATTTGGATCTCGCTTGCTTCCCAAAAATCGACTAGCTCTACCAGAAACTTGATTCAAGGCCACTTTCCTTGCCACACTGACTTTATTCAAAATTATGTGCTTATTTCTCTTATATTTATTTCACCACATATTTATACCAACTAATTGCTGTCATATCCCACTATATATATTTCTTGTTCTTGCAAAAGTATTCAAAATGAAACATGCAATAAAAATAACGATATGTAAGACATATGTAAAAATAATCACAAAATAATAAATAAATACAAATATAATACTAGACAATATGGTAGTCAGTATCATTTCATTCAAATTCTTTCAAACTGAATCGATTATTGATTTTTTCTTTTCAGCTTCATTGTGTTGTCTAAATCCTGTATTTCAGTTCCGCTCCATCCTATTGGTCCTACTACGGTAACAGTAGTCTGCGTCACTTCAACAGTTATCGTCCACACAACTACACACCATCAACCGCCTCATGGTCACGTTATACTTCTGAGCAGCTTCTCTTCTTTGACCTCTCTCCCCCTCACATCAAAAGCTATTTCGCCGCGCTTCTCGATATCTTTAGCGGAACTCTGTTCTCTGACCATCATCCGACAAAGTCGTTGTGCACACCTACTGCCCCATCTAGGAAAAATGCTTGATTTTACAATACTACTTATAAAGAATTCTCGCCGTCATAGTAACTGGTTTGGAGACTTTGAAAAAAGTCATATGTCATGCCCCCAGAGAGCCAGCTTGGCCAACAACACTAGTCCTACAAGCCACTTATCTGCACCCATTCACAACCATGGTCTTCAAGGTTTATCGATTCGCGCAAAATCGATAGCATGTACAGAATAGACACGATCGATATTTGTATTTTTGGCAATCAATATTTGTATCTGTTAAGCTTGGTGTTGAATAATTTCGGTATAATCTGCAAATAAAGTTTCCGCAAAGGATTTAACTTTAGGCAAAAAGCTTTCCGGACGAAAAGATGAATGTAACCAGTCAACTACATAGCAATCACTAAGATACAGCGAGGAAATCAAGAATTGTGATGTATCACACTGGTAGAGGGTAAGTGCGCACCACAGCATCGCATGGCTTTTCATTGACGATTAGCTGGAACACCTCCGGGCGGCTGTAATGGCCTACAGTATCCAAATCCATCTTACCGCAAGCGATTCGAGAAAGATCTGCGTTCACATAGCTGAAAATTTCATCAGCTTCACTTTGGTAGCTTTTTCAGTCTATGTTTTCAAAACTACACTTACTGGATGAGTTCTTTGGTGAAGTCGGGCTCAACAAGAATCGTTCCTAGAGGATCAACTGCACAAGAACCGCCTCGAATCAGAACCTTTGGCGTAAATCTACATTTAAACGGAAATGCAGAACATGACGTCATTTGAACCCATCATTCACTCTCACCTTATCGTTGCCGTGTTTTACACGCATCGGATGACCCTCTGGGTAAGCCGATGATGTCATGAATTGAGCAGACGAGATAACGAAACATCTAAAAGCGAATGATTTCACTAGTAAACTTTTGGATGTTCATGGTTTGCGAAACATTGAGAAATTAGCGTTACGAACACTCTGTGCGCTCGCCTTATTTTAGCGAGTTCACGATACCACGATAGATGATTCTACTTCACACCCACTGACAAAACCACATTCAAAATTTAGATTACGATAGTGCTCGTGAGGAGAGGGGGGGAGTCGGGATAACGACGTACGCCCTAGAGCCACCTACTCGGGGAAATCCAGTTTTGACAGTAAAACCTACACTTACATCGATAACTTTACTCAACAATTTGATCCCACCTGCCTTCAAGTGCTATCGTTCGCATAGTAGACAGCCAAGTGTCACGATCATCCACAGTGCAAGCCAGGTACAGCTCAATTCCTAAACGTATTCTATTTCTGTGGGCCCAACAGGCGACAGATCCTTGATTAGCCTATTCCACAAATCGTGCACAGAAGAGTGATCAAAATGAGGGAAATTACTCGCCTCCAAAACCAAAACACAAAAAAAAGACAGCCGCCGGAATTGCACGGTGCGCAACTGGCCATCGAGAGCGGATGGGCGGTGGGGTGTGGTTCAAGAAGCGGGGTTCAAGTTTTGCTCATTATACATTTGTTAAGTCATCGAAAGTTACCAAAACAACCCCTTTCCCGGCAACCACAACACCTTCAACTTCACGAATACGACTCCGCTCGGACTTTTTCAAAAAACGAGTGACCTTGGCAAATTGCAAAAACGCCTCCCTCTCCCTCCCGGGTAGACCGTCCCTTGGAACATTTCGAGGACGGTTGACCGTGTGCGCAACTTAGGGAAGGTGGTTAACAGTTCCAGTACAGACAAAACCTAACCGTTTAGCCGTTGAAGAACGCCATTATACATGTATCGCGGCACCTTTTGTAATGATTTTTCATCAGTAGTCATTAACTCGTTTTCAGTAAATGATAAGTTTCACTAATGGCAATGAATATGGTTTTTGAATCCGATTGTGCTTATGAATAAGATATGTGAAACGCAAATAAATGAAGGAAATCGGGTCTGCTCCGTGCGAAAGTGTGGCCTGTTAGCGGACCACGCTTTTGCACGTCGTCAATGGGTTGAAAAACGAACCTTTGTTGTAGAGAGTAACGCGATACATGGGCATGTAATTTTCCCAGCAAATCGCGCCTCCAATCTTTCCTAACGGCGTGTCGAACACCTGGAATGACATTTTAAAACTCAAAACAAAACAGAGAAGCAGAACTCAACTGAATTCGGCCGGTAATCGATGATCAAAAAGCACAATAGGTCGTTTTTTCATCAAAAGAAAAGATTGAGAAAGGTATCCTATTACAACCAACAAAGAAAACGTCTGCAATGATCTTATTTTCAAGTTCACGGCAAAATGGTATGTTCCACCACGCCAAGGAAAAAAAGAAGTTGGCGACTGAACTTCGAGTAGGGGCAATAAAAAAGGGCGCTATGTGCCTCGGGGGGGGGGGGCAGTCACCGCGCGCGGCTGTGCGGCAACAGGAAATTCGAACATTCCAGCTTCTCACGCATGTCATGTGACTGCCCTCACCCCCAACCCCCCTGAATTGGCTACACTCCCCCTGGCTCACGAATTTCCTGTTGCCGCAAGAGCGCGCGCGGCGACTGCCCCCCCCCGAGGCACATTGCGCCAAAAAAGCTTTTCTCAAAGAAAGCAAATGCTTACTTTGTGACTAGGGGGCTATGGAGTGTGAGAAAATCCAATTTTAAAGACTGATAACCACGAACCGGCATCGTTGACCCATCACCATTTCCCCAAAGACATCGTTCTAACGCTGTTGGCATCAGTTTCCGATGCTTGCCCATGTAACCATCAGGTCCATAGTAAAACATCTGTAACGGAACATGAGAAATTCAGGCGCAGCACTCTTACGGGTAAAACAGTCAGCTGGCAGCTGGCAATCATTTCAAATTGATCTGACATATTACGGTGGAGATGACGTGCGCAGGCTGCGTGCTGCCTTTTATCTAACCAGGCGCCGTAAGGTATGCTTCCCGAAGGGTTAGGGGACGAAAGTTCCTTTAAATTTTCTCTGTAGTCCCAACTGGGATTGTCCTGATAAAGGGCCTACATCTAATATATGTGTGTAGCTTAAAGTAAGCATGCATTGAAAATAAAGAAACAGTATCGTTCAAAACAAAAAATTTAAAGGGACTTTCGTCCCCGCAACATTCGCAATAGTCAGGACTTTGCAATTGGCAGTTGATTTTGCAGCCAATCGCAGGTGCGAGCCGATGGCGAGCGACCGGCGAGATTTACGACGAGCGGCGGCCGTGTGTATCTATCCAACGGGGGTAAACTCTCCGGTTACAAGGCTTCTGTCAACCAGGGGGTGAGAGTGTAGAAGGAAAAGCAGACGTTCTTTGTGGTAGTGGGACTAAGCCTTTTAAAGGAGGTAAAGAAAGCGGAGATTCTGTAATAGTGCGCTTGTGTGAGAGCTCCCAGACAGCACAACAAAACGCTGAATTGCCTAGCCTTCACGGTTGACAGATGTCCGTGAGACCGGTTAAATCTCCACGTCGCTCGCAATCGCTCTGGGCGATCGTCGCTCCTGCAATTTCGGTGTTGCAAATCGATCCAGTGCAAAGTCTGAATCGGCCAGTGGCGGGAAGGCAACCTTTAACCGAGCCGCAGTTTTCGCATTAAAAGTTCAAATGCGAAAAGACCAAAGAAAGGATGATAAAGTAGAATGTAATGCTAAAAAACCGAAACAAAAATGCAGAAGGTGCAAACATACCTACAGACAGTAAAGAGTGCCGCCTTGTCGTTCCACTACTCCGACAACGATAAAGATGTTATTGGGTGATGGCGACTTCAGCAATACGTTGTGACTCCGGACCTTTTTCTTCGATAGCGGAGTTGAAGTATCTGCAACATATTACTAGTAAAAATTACTCATGTTGACAGCTTTTCTATTTGAACTCTGATTGGAGCCTAAAACCTTGCGAAAGTCGAGTTTCAGAAACTGAACTAGCACCATGTCACACATTCCCATTGCCGCGCACCGCGACTTCCGTTTCTTAAACTTTACATCACAGCGCTCACGGGTCTTGAATGAAGGAAACCGGTTCACACTTTGTTAGGGGTTTGATTAGTCACTTAATTCCTTTTCATTGTACTAGACATGTAAATAAAAATAATCGTTAAAGAAAATACAAACTCTGTGTATCACAAGAAATGCGATAGCGAAATTGAAACAATCACGGCGAAAATGCTTTTGACGTTTACCGCAGCGAGAGGTGAATTTTGATTTTCCCTCCGCCCATAAGTCGTCGAATAATAGAATTTTGATCAAACACATGTACATATACGTGTTTGAGATTTGAAGTTATAAAGCTCACAAGAAATTTGTGGAGCATATTTTCTGCGGAAAGACGGGTCGTAATTGCGGACACAATAGCGCGTGCGACGGCAATCTCAAGAATTCATGGATGCGAGACAAGAGCATCGCCGCGCAAGCGAACCGCACGCGGCGGCTACCGGTCCTTACAAGTTGGAACGTGGCAATTTGCTAGGACTAAGCAAAAACAAATGCAGAAATGGGGACTACACAGACGGAACAAAAAAGTGTTGTATCGATCGTCAGAGAGGCGGGTCCTAAACTTGGCCAATTGCCATGTTTCAAACTGCAGAAACGCCGGCGACGTCGCGCGCGGTGACCTAGTTTTTAGCGCGGCGGTCGATGGGGGACTCTTGACCGTCTCCCAGAATTTATGTATACCACATGAGCCTTTCGTGCAAGCTGATGTCACATAAGTTTAAGATTAAGCCCGGAATTACGACACGCTGCCGCGGGAACAGAGTATACCCTCCCCTTCAAAAAGCGAGAAAGTGTCGGGTGCAGACCAAACACCACAACTGACGACGGCCTCCAAGTAAATCTGGTTAGTTGTTCATAGTGATAGCTGATTTTGGTAAATGATAGTTGTAATTAGTGACAACGATAGAATACAACTGCAACAGGCTCATTTCATTGGCAGAAAACATTAACATTTTGTGAAGGCCGTCGTCACTTGTGGTGTATGGTCTGCACCCGACACTTTCTCGCTTTTTGAAGGGGAGGGTATATCCTGCGCGTTATATCGGCTGGTAGAAATTACCACAAATTCCTTCAACAAGTTTTAGTGGCGAAGGCAGCACGTTAGTCTTCTTGTTACTAAGTTCCCAGTGCAGAAGTAACAGCACTGGAAATTATTAATGTAAGGATCTTAAAGTGAGCAGCAAAGGAATTCTTTACCTGCCAAACTCTTCACGACCTTCCGGAGAACGTGTGCCGAGTACGATTCCAAAGTCAGATCCTTTCGGATAACCGCCAACAAATGCTTCTGGAAAAAATCGTTTTACAAGCGCCAGGCCAATCAGTGAGTATATAATATGTACTAACCTGGAAAAAGGACAAGTTTTGCCCCGTTGTCTGCAGCTTCCTTAGCGAACTTTTCGAGTTTATCCAGTGTCGCTGGGGTATCATATAAAATGGAGCCCGCTTGGACGATCGCAATCGACATCTGAAACGAAAGAGCTGCTGGAGAGAGCTAGAGGAAGTGTGCATATCTATGAAGGACACATAAATTGAAGAAGGCCGACGTCACTGAATAGTGTTTGTCTTGGACAAGTGTCAGACTTTGCGACTAATCGCTACGAATCGCGCGATTGTCGCAGAGGTTAGCACCTGCCATAACTGGCGATGCCAAGAAAGAACGTCGAGTTCTGCATTCGCAAAGAACACTCGTACGACAAACTTTCAATGCCGATATGTATGCTGCGATGATAGAGTCGTCAGATCTACACATGAATACCGGAAGCAATATCGATGCCGACTATGAAGATCTAGTGGGAAAAATAACTCAGGCCGTGAAAGCATCGAGCATAGCAATAGAGCCCGCAAGGCGACGACGTATATCGACAGAAGCACTGCAGATGATGAAGAGGAGAGCACGCATGAAGGCTGAAGGACGAGTGCAAAATGAGGAATACCGGACACTCTGTGAAGCGATAAGGGAAAGAATCAAGTGCGACTATGAAGGCTACAGACAAATGAAACTTCGCGAAGCAGCTGAGAAAAGGGCTAGCCTGAAAGCTGTAGAAAGGGATATCCGTCTAAGGCAACATATACCCTATGCTCTCAAGACGATACAGGTGTTAGAACAACCAACCGCCCACGAATGAACGAGATATGTACAAAGTTCTACAACGATTTGTACTCCTCAAAGGTGGTTGTTGCAAGAACCTATCAAAACGTTGCAGAAGAACCGATCCCAGAAGTAATGTGGGAAGAAGTGGAG